GAATGTAATCTCGTATGCAAATGCTAAGGTGAAGGGGATTTTTAGAATAAATTTGTTTTGTTTGGAAGTCAATTAAAACTTCAAATATGTGCAATCGCATTCAATTGCGTTTAGAAATAACACTCAAGCATAATATTTCAACTGTCAATCGCAGTTTTGAAAGTGTATATCAATTTAGGCAAAATATGACATATCTTCGTTTGGCATATTTTTGACCGAATGTCATAAGAAATATAACTTATGGTCATATTTCCCGATATAAAAAGACGTAATTTAAAACAGCACATCTGTGCAATCACCCTCAATTACGCTCGAAAATAACAATCAAGAATAATATTTCCAATATTCATAGTATTTTTCAAACTAGGTCAATTTGGGCAAAAATGCAAAATATATGTGCATAATAAATTAACTAAACTAACTAACTCTATTATGGTCAGTTTTCTTAATAAAATGACTCAGTTTGAAACCTCAAAACGTGTGCAATCACCTGCAATTATGGTAAAAAATAGCACTCAAGCATAATAATTTAAATAACCATCGTAGTTTTCTTCAATATGCGCAAAATATGACAAATCTACGTTTTCACTTATGGTCTTATTTCCCGTATAAATAGACATATTTTTAAAACTTAAAATATGTGCAATCACTCTCAAAATTAACAGTCAAGAATAATATTTCCAATATGCTTCAATTTTTTCAAACTGAAGGTCAATTTGAGCAAAATATTTCCGTTTTTTCTTGGACATATTATTTACCACATTTTGTGCGTCTTATTTGAGGTTATTTTGAGATGATTTCGGGGCTTAGCGTCCCCGCGGCCCGGTCCTCGACTAGGCCTCCTTTTTTTGTTACACATCCTCCAGGAAGCAGCTAACTCGCTTATTTACTGCTAGGTGAACAGGTACATTAGGGTGAAAGAAACTCTACCCATTTATTTCCGCCTCCGCCGGGGATAGAACCCGGAATCTTAGGACTACGAATCCCGAGCGATGTCCACTCAGCCGTCAGACTCCAGGCCAGGCGTCGGGTGAATCAAAACACCATAGGCGATATAACTTTTTATTATTTTTAAATATTAATAATAAAATATTTGCAACTGCGAGTTGCAGGCTATGGTGGGCATGTGCAGGAGTACATGTTATGTGACCTTAATAACTATACTTGTAGTAGTAGTAGTAGGCATGTGACCTTAATAACTATACTTGTAGTAGTAGTAGTAGTAGGCATCCATCAGTCTCAGATAACTATGGAGTTGCGCTCTGGAGTGACCTCTCCAGGGTAGAGTAGGTTGATACGGAGAAGCTGTTACCCAAGCAGCAGAGGTCCTCCCCCTCTCCATAGCGCCGAAAGTCTCCAATGGAAAGACAAACGCCCATACGATTGGTTCCATCGCCGTGGAACCAATCTATAATATACATACGTGTATACCTATTCTATGTAAGTAGTGGCACATGCACCCCGAACATCGTAGTACGTAACTAAAGTATACAAGGCTAGAGAATTCATCCCTGAATTATAAATGGTGAACTTAACAGTAATAACGAAGGATGCATGTGGCCTATACTCGTAAACAATTAACATTATTAATTACCAATAATGACCCACTTACATATGTTTCTAACATTACATTACATGTTTTAATGATGAGACGAGCTATATGCATACAGAAACATTGAAAGAGTATGTATGATGAGAGTGTATACATACGTACAAATATTCCTATTAAGAGTTAATTCCATATCCACCAACAAAAAAAATCGAAATCTGCCAACATAAATTTCCAAATCTGCAAACAGGAAAATTCAAATCTGCAATAAAATCGAATTCCGCAAACAAAAAATACAAATTCTGCCAACAAAAAAATCTCAAATAGCGAACAACAAAATTCAATATTCTATCTTCAAACAAAAAATCCAAATCCACCAACAAAAAATTCAAAATCCTTCAAATAAATTCCAAATCCGCTAACAAAAAAAATCGAAATCCGCCAACTAAAAAAATCCAATTCCGCCAACATAAAAAATCGAAATCCGCTAACAAAAAAATTTCAAATCCACCCAAAAAAATTAATCCAAATCCACCAACATAAAAATTCGAAATCTGCCCCCCCAAAAAATCCTAAACTGCTAAAAAAGATAAAAATCCAAATCCGCCAACAAAAATATTATAATTCTGCCAATAAAAAAAATCCAAATCCGCCAATAAAAAGATTGTATTTCTGCCAGTAAAAAAAAAAGATATCAAAAGGATAGATATAAAAAAATATCATCTTTCAGAATCAGAGAATGAGAAAGACCTGAATGTATATATATATAAATTTAAACAGCGTTTGACGAACACAAATAATAAAACGTCTGTAGCGTACGGTAAACTGTCATATGTTGTCTGTCCACACTGGACAGGCTCAGGGAGAGTCTTGACAGGTCTGTCTGTTCACTGGACACGGTCAAGGGAAGAGTAGGGCTTGGCAAGTCTGTCTGTCCCCACAGGATAGAAGGCAGTAAATATCAACAGAAAAACTGCGTCGTTCCTGGATATAAAAAGATGTGACTAACAAGGAATTAATGCACTAACACACACACACACACGTACTAATCAATTTACAAATAGCAGTTGGGAGACACGCTAGGCTCCGCCACCACACAAGGGGAGTCCGTTGCGCAAGCTTCCACGCGAACACATTCCTTATACTACGCAAGATGCGCTGAAAAATGTATACTCATTGAGTTACCAGAAACAGCCGTGACAATACAAACCATTGATCATAGCTCTGTTGCCCCAATGATCGGTGCGTTGCCTCAATGGTTACATGCTCTGTATCTTTAAGAAGGGGGGGGGGGGCAATGTTATATCCCGGTGTGCTGTCTCCTTCACACGCCACGCCGACTAGCCCCAATTGTCACTAAGGATGGCGTGTGTACATATACACTGGTTCCGAACTCTCGCCACCACTTGCAAGATGATATATTGACGTTTTTGTGAATTTCAGTTTGTACACACACACACACTCTGTGTGTGTGTATTAGTGATAGGGCGCTCTAACGCCCTAATACTGTGTTAGGGCGCTGGTGGCTGAGTGGAGGGCTCTGGTGGCTGAGTGGACAGCACGCTGGATCTGTAGTCCTGTGGACCTGGGTCGATTCCCGGAGTCGGCGGAACCAGATGGGCAGAGTTGCTTTCACTCTGAAAGAATACTATTTCTGCGAGTTGCAGGCTATGGTGTGCATGTGCAGGGATACATGTTAAGTGACCTTAATTACTATACTTGTAGTAGTAGTAGTAGTAGGCATCCATCGGTCCCATTTACTGCTGTTACCTAGCAGTAAATAGGTACCTGGGAGTTAGACAGCTGTTACGGGCTGCTTCCTGGGTGTGTGTGGGGAGGGTCAACCTCAGCAAGCACAACTAAGTGAAATACACACACACACTAAAGAAACTGTTCATGACTTTTGTGAGACCAAAACTGGAATATGTAGCAGTTGTATGGTCCCCAAATCGCAAGAAGCAGATTAAGAAACTGGAAGAGGTGCAACAGCATGCTACAAAATGGCTTCTGGAATTGAAAAACAAGAGTTACGAGCAGAAACTACAGACATTAAACGTGCCAAAACTAGAAAATAGAAGAAAAAGAGGTGATATGATCACCACATTCAAAATTCTAACAGGAATTGACCAAATTGACAAGGAGGAATTCATGAAACCAGTAACATCATGAACAAGAGGACACGGTTTCAAGCTAATAAAAAAACAGAGGTGCCGAAAAAAAAATTAGATGTTTTATGCAAACAGCGTGGTAGACGGTTGACGGCTGATATATGAGGTGAAGTGAAAAAAAATAGATTTTCTAAGATCAAGTTCATGTTGCGTCTATTATCAAAATTTCCATTGAGTAGAGTTGCAGTCATTCTCTAAGACTTTTTATTCAGACGAATCAAGAAAGTACAATTCATTACTAATATTTACTTTACTTGTTTTAGTAAATCTGTATTAAAACAGATTCAATAATATTACTATTTAAAATGCTCTTGCAATTTATGATTAAAAAAAAGAATCTTCTTACAAATGAATGAACAAAGCAGGAGACATTTGGCCAGTTCTAAAGAGAAAATAGAAGTACGCTTTCAGAATATATTGACATGGAAGAGGTCATCCGTGGCTAGGCTTCCTGGACTGATATTTTAAGTCATGTGAATGCAAGTCTTCATATTCAAGGCCCAGTAGTCACTATCATGGATACTGCTGAAAAAACAACCGTCTTCTTTGGCCAAGTTGCTTCTTAGGACGAGGAGATTGAAGGTGGACTAGCAAATGAACTTTATATAGTGACTAGAGGAAGTGCTTCTGTCTGGAATTGAGAGTAACATTGACGGCTTGTGAGTTTCTGATCTATTGACACGGGTCTATATATATAGACACCACATAATTATATTTTTTATTTTAAGGTTCCTTCTTCTCAGATGATCTTAAAATACGAACGTGAATGGGAAGTCCTTTCTTTGCTGAGCTAGACAACATCAGTAATGCAGCCATGTCCAAGGATGATCTCTTTGTGTTGAGGAAAAAGTAAATCATGTGAAATGAATTTATCGAGAAAAGTCTTGGAGAGTTATTTGCTACATGGTAATCATCGTCCAGCGAAGCGAGCGTGGCCCCAGATTCTACAGGAATAAATAATTGAACGACAGGAGATATGACTGAACCAACCAGTAGGCCTACTGCAATGTTCCTATCTTCGTATCTGGATTGGTAAAACGGGAGAGGTTTCTGAACTTATACAATATTATCACGCGGGCTCTGATCGAGCAACTTATTACATAATGACAAGTTATGTCAGTACTATGTCGTTAGGGGATAATATGTATACTATTTATGTATAACATAATCACACGAAGGCAAAAAACATCACTGAAGAATAGTGATAAATATAGATTATAGATAATATCAGTAGAAAAGTTTACTGAAAAAGTAGCATACGTGATTTAATAAAGCCTAAACAAACAAAATCATGAAAAGGCACAGCAATTCATGTATGGATGCCGGTCTAACAAAAGAATACTCTTATTACGTTAGGTAAAGATGGTATAGACAACCATCTAATCAATCTAATGGTTTACAGTGTCGTTGAGTGTGCGTAGATGGGGCTAGTCGCCCCCTCGGCCGTCAGCAGGGCAGGTGGTCACGGAAGTTTCGAGCGCCATTGAGGAAGGATGTGTCCTCTCTTACTGCTGCTGCTGCTGCTGATGGTCGCTGCCTCGTCTGTCCTCGCTCAGGATACAGTGGTTACTGGTGAGTCTTGCGTCCCTTTTCCTTTTTATGTAGGGGTGACCTGGGTGTGTATGGGGGTGACCTGGCTGTATATGGGGTTGACCTGGCTGTATATGAGGGTGATCTGGCTGTATATGGGAGTGACCTGGTTGTATATGGGAGTGACCTGGATGTATATGGGAGTTACCTGAATGTATATAGTGGTTTAGCATAACATTGGCAGCTCTAGTAGGCTAGCATAGCTCTGGTATCTCAACATAATTCTGGTAGGCTTGCATTGGATTTTGCCCATACCTGGGGATTTTGAATTTTTAAGTTCGCCATTATTTTTCTATCCAGATAGAAAAAAAATCCTCAGGAATAAAGGGAACTTTGACAAACCGACGAGTTGCTGTCCTTGTAGAGGCCACTAAAGATATGGTGGCCCTCAGGTAAACTCAGGTATGTCGTAGTCGAAAAATGTTTTTGGCTTTAGGTATTAACATGATGTCAGTTAGCTGAACTGAGTTTCGTCAACTTGACGTCCGCTTGCATGTTTGTTGTTATTTTAAAATTCAGCTAGTAGGAACGAAAAGTTCCAAGTAGCACGGGCTATGGTGAGCCCGTAGTAGACTTACCTGGCAAAGGAGCGGGGCTGTCGTCCTCCGTCCGCTTGCAATTTGATGGCCAATATCTGTGGGTTTAGGAGACGTGAAGTGTGCCTTGGTTGTTGGGGAGTGTCACTGGAAGCACCTAGATCTAAGGACTTGTTGAATTGCAGGACTCGGATTGGTATTCAAACATATTCTGCAACACCTGGATTGTTTCTGTTGAAATGTGGCGCCGACTGTACTTGTCCCAGACAAGCGTATCACATTAACTAGTGGAGAATTACTCTGTACAATCAATAGTATCTAGCAACAATCAGAATCAAGTAAATCAAGATTTGGTATTCCGATAATTCAAAATGATCTTCTTACACAATAGACTGCAACATTCGGACTCCGTCATAACCAGGTCCATTACAACCGAACAGAGATTTGCTGCGATGTAATACAGCTCACTACCCCCTCCCGGGAAACTAGTTCTGATATGTCCATGCTCAGAGTTTTTTGGATTTGATGTCCAAAGGGTTTGGAAAGGATGGGGGAACACTACAGTGGTCTACTACTCAAGTTTTGCCACGCCACAACCTTGATTATTTCCCCCGAAAGTGCCACAATGCCTGTCCAGAGAATTTGTAAGTAGGCGCCATCTTTCATTTTCGGGAATTATACGGACAAAATTTATTAGAAATTTACATATGTGGCAAAACATAAAATTATCTACTGCAACCCATCGATAAATATTTAGACTCCATGTTTTGTATGGTATGGATATTTGCATGAATCTCCTAGATAAAATGATGAATCAGAAATCATGCATTACAGCTTCCTAACACTACACTCTTACATCACAATAAGGTCGTATCTGAGACAATAGAGCAGGTCGATAGAATCGAACCTGCGTCCCTGGTCACCCCTGATAAGCGCTATGTACGTCTGGGGTGATGCATGACAATGGTTCGATTCCACTGCCCTACAAATATTTTCTTCCTGGCACTGTTTAGTTAGATGGGTGACCTCGTTAAAGAGTCGTCTGTCTTCCTTAGTGTAAACTGATTTACATAACCTTATGTTTAAGACAAAATGTTTTGCTTCATTTACTTTAACCGTAGCCTAATGCTCTTCACATTAGCCTAATGCACTTCAACTTTAAGTGTGAGTAATTAATTTCAAAAGAAGGCACCGAGCCGGGGAGGCTATGTAGCACCATAACTTTAACTGTAGCTTAATGCATTTCAACTTTAATCGTGGCCTGACGCACTTCATTTCTAAACGTAGCCTAATGCACATGAACTTTGTCCTTATTTATTCTAAACTTAACCTAATGCACTGTAATGTTAGACTAAAATATTTAAACCTTTATTTTAGTCTATTCCTTTACTTCATCAGGGACAACGGATGCTGGCTCTGAGACCAAGCCACCCCCTGTGGTCTCTGGAACCAAGTCACCCCCTGTGGTGTCTGGAACCAAGCCACCCCCTGTGGTCTCTGGAACCAAGCCACCCCCTGTGGTGTCTGGAACCAAGCCACCCCCTGTGGTCTCTGGAACCAAGCCACCCAATGTGGTCTCTGGAACCAAGCCACCCCCTGTGGTCTCTGGAACCAACCCTCACCCCGTAGGTCCTGAAACGAAGCCACCCCCCGTGGGCCCGGGGCAGATGCGGGTGCTGTACCTACAGAAATCAGGCACCCCTTCGGAACACAGCTTTGCCTGGTTGGTGACGCCCTTCCCCACCCTCAACACATTCAGCATCTGCTACTGGATCAGACTCAACCGGTTCAGGGCTGAGTCTACGCTGATATCCTAGGCAGTTGCTGACGATAAGGACAACGAAATAAGAATTGGTCAGTACATAAAAGCTTATGTGTGGGAATAATGTGTATAATACGAACTAGAGGGGGGTACACGGGTTTCTCGGGCGACGGGGGCCACATGCTCACTTGACGCTCTCTTCATCACTGCAATCATTTTTTACAACCTAGGCACTGCCGGGTTCCCCATCTACAACCATAATCATCACTTCCTTCCCTCTCCTTCACCACCTTTCCTACTTTTCTCCTCTTTGTCTATCTCTCATCAACATCGATATCTTTCATCACTTTCCAGACCCTGCAACATCTTCACTACCCTTCACCTTCTGTACCCCCTTCACCACCTTCCCTACCCTTCACCCCTTTCTTCACTATTTTCCATATCCTTCAACACCTTTCCAACCCTTCACCTTCTTCCCAACCCTTCTCCACGGACCAAGGGTTACAGAGCCAATCGGAACAAAGCTGAAGCAATGTGCCAGACCTTTGTATTTGATGGATTTATGCGTTTCTCCGAAAGAAACAGCACCACCTCCTTCGATTGCAGTGTATTGAAGGTAGGTACTGGCCAATGTGGATGCGCATGTGTAGTCCAACACTACTAGCTTGCCATCCTTCCTGGGAAGTATGGTGACCCCGTCTGGATACTTCCGAATGTCATTGGGTCTGTATAGGTGGGGTTCTCTTTGTGCCGGGTAGCGGGCCGTTGCGAGGCTCCTCTTTGTGAAGATAAAATGCTGGTAATGCTAAGTCTGTTGTCTTGCGTATTCCTATTTCCTCAAGTCTGATTGGAAGTGTTGCTTGGCTCCACTGACTGTCATCTACGTCTAGATTGAGTGCCTTCCTGAATAGACTTCAGAAACTCGTCATATTGACTTAGTAGTGGGCTGCGAAAAGAGGTTGCGCACAGCCACTGCGCACAGCCACCATGATGCGCCTTGTACCTTCTCACTTTGTGAGAAGGTACAGGGCATCATGGTAGTCCAAGTTCCCTATTCCCTCTTCCATCCTCTTTAGGCCATTGAATTTTTCCTAGAAGATTGCGGCAATGATTAATATTCTACATTGGAAGAAAATGTAGAATAGAATAGAACCAATGAAGAGCAGAGGTGCCATAGGCACAATCAGAGAACACTGTATAAACATCAGAGGTCCGCGGTTGTTCAACGTCCTCCCAGCAAGCATAAGAAATATTGCCGGAACAACCGTGGACATTTTCAAGAGGAAACTAGATTTATTCCTCCAAGGAGTGCCGGACCAACCGGGCTGTGGTGGGTATGTGGGCCTGCGGGCCGCTCCAAGCAACAGCCTGGTGGACCAAACTCTCACAAGTCGAGCCTGGCCTCGGGCCGGGCTTGGGGAGTAGACGAACTCCCAGAACCCCATCAACCAGGTATCAACCAGGTAATGGCGTTATAGGCCAAAGGTGCTTCATGTAGTGTGCTGTCAGTGGGTTCAGTGACTGAGGTTTCCGGTAAAACTAATTTAAATGCAAAGAAAATCAAATAGGAAATACTTGAGTCTTTTTCATGTCTATTTGACACACTCGGAAGTACTGACAATAGTCACAGAAAGATAATATCTAAACCTAATTATGATAAACACAGCCGAGTTGAAGGAGCCAGGATTCATTAAGCACTAGAGTGTCTACTTGTGCATCTTTCTTCAATCATAGCAACTTTGTTTATACGTAGTAAAAGAGCTTGGAAACGTTGTAAGGTCATCCCGGACCCAACGTTGTTATTGTTATAGACAACCTCGTAGCGCTGCGGAGCTCATAAACTGCTTAATAAGTGTAAACAAAGCCGCCATGATTGCGGAAAGATGTACAGGTTTCGAAAATGGTTGTTTAATCCTGGCACTACCTGGAATCAGGTCACATCACCTCTATTAGACAATTTGTCTCTAAGGTGAATAGTTGTCCATTAATATTCCTACTGAAATCTACAAATAAATTAAAAATATATATAAAGCTGATATATATTATATATCAGCTTTCTCTTGATAACGCCTAACCTCTCTTTCTCTGCAGACCACCGGATGACATCGTACATGGTAGCGGTTCACAGCCAGTGGGCGGAGACCAACCTGTCGACGCCCTTCCGTCACTGGAGCCACTTCTGCTTCACGTACCTCCTTCAGACAGCAGAGTGGCACATCTACATGAACGGTCAGCTGGAGGGCCAGGGCCACCTGCCCATCGCGTCTGGACCCCTACTAGGCGGCGGGGTTTATGTTCTAGGTGAGTGACTACATGAAACCTGCTGCACACCTATTGCAAAGGTACAATGTCATCCAATTGTTTCGTAAAATTATTTTTTTTTCTGCCCAAAACATATAGGGAAACAGGTTCGACGACAGTTATAGAAGAGTTGAATAGACTGCTTGAGGGCCTCTTTGATGCAAGTACCTTGATTTAAAAATAGAACAGATGAAAGTAATGAAAACAATTAGGTGTAAATAGGACCTGCCTTGTAAATAGGACGTTTTGTTAGGCCTAGAGAGATTGTTTTAGTTTACGTTTTGTTAGGCCTAAAGTTTGTTTTAGCTTCAGCTTTTGTTAGGCTGTTGCAATAGTTTTATCATAAGATGAAGACTTACACGTATATGGATTATCTAATACTGTTTTTCACCTTCAGTTCCGACTGTAGTTGATGGGAGGTGTGTGTGTGTGTGTGTAATTAATAGCTATTTTTGTATTTCTCAACCACTTATGAAACTTATACACATTTCTTCAAGCATGGCAGCCTTGTTTACATTTATTAATTTATGAACTCCGAAGCGGTACGAAGTTGTTTATAACAATAATAACCTCGGGTTGTGAAGTTTGCAAGCTCGTAAACTGTTTAATAAATGTAAACAAAGCCGCAATAATTGAGGAATGATGTACACATTTCGTAAGTGGTTGATGACTGCTGGACCAACTTTTACTATGACGTGTGTGTGTGTGTGTACAGGTCAGGAGCAGGACAAATTGGGTGGTGGATTCGACCGTGACCAGACCTTCAGCGGGGAAATCACAGCACTCAACGTGTGGTTCACAGTACTTAACGCATCCACCATCAGGAAGGTACTGTACCTGTGGTTCACAGTACTCTACACATCCACCATCATAAAGGTACTGTACCTGTGGTTCACAGTACTAGACACGTCCACCATCAGGAAGGTACTGTACCTGTGGTTCACAGTACTAGACACATCCACCGTGACTACAGACTAATCCGCCATGATCGGGGTACGAGGAACAGATGTCGCGAGTGGACACGTAAGTGCTGCTCCCTTGCTCCTAAATACAGTCGAAGCTTGGTCCTCATCAGCGACGGCTCCCACGATAGGACACTCGTTTACTCTCAGGCGTTATGCTCTCTGACCCCTGGTTATAATCGCAGCCCGTCCTCTCGAATAATAAACTGCATTTTGACGTTGCTGTTGTTGTACATTCAGCTACTCTGAACAAAAAGATCCAAGCAGCAAAGGCTATGGTGAGCCCGTCGTCGTACTTATCTGGCACAGGAGATGTGCGGTGCTTTTTGACGTAAAATCTCCTTAAGGACAAAAAGTAATGCTCTAAATTTCATAGCGGCTCGCAAAATTGACGTGATGTCCCGTTTTCTATGCGTGGATTCATGGTTTGGTTAGATAATTTAGTACATCAGTTCAGTGACATTGGGAACGCTCGAGAGGATGGGCTGATAAACCGTCGCTTCTCGTTTGCTTACAGGACTAAGTCATAAACCAGGGACGCCCTAATTTCCCATTCAGAAACAAGGGCTCCATCATAGCTGGCTTCTGTCTCGAACTTCCAATGAGTTGGGCTCGTTCCGAGACTGACTTCTGATTATCTACTCTCTGTCTATGGTTAGGTTAGGTTAAGGTTACTTAAGGTTAAGGTTTGGTTAAGTTTCATTACGTTTGGTTATGTTAATACTGTATTATTGATGATAATGTTAAATATGGAATTCGAAAACTATTTTTGTTTGCCCGAGAATTCCGTTTACAGAAAAACAATTCTTCAAAGAAAATGTTGTCAGCAGACACTTTTTATATTTTAAACCAATGCTTCATGATATAATAACGTTATAACTTTAGAATAATCTAGACTTACGACAAAGGTTCACTTACCAGTTTACATGTAGACTATTACTGGAACCATAATATGCTTTCAGATCATCACAAATATCTAGATAACTGTCCGGGTGGTTTCAAGGGGGTATAGTTTCTCATGGTAATGGATTTGCTGCGAGGACGAGCTCGACCTGAGAAACGTATAATAATAATAATAATAATAATAATAATAATAATAATAATAATAATAATAATAATAATAATAATTTTATTTAGGAAAAGTACATACATAGATGCAAAGTTACAAACATACTGTTGGATTTATAGATAGAGCTAGTACATGCAATACCTAAAGCCACTATTACACATAGCGTTTCCACGGGAGGCATCTCCCGTCACGCAGGGTGCAGTCGTACCTCCACAGATCTCCAGTATCAGCTCTTGATACTGGTAATGGCTCAAAAGAGCCACCACTTACGGGCTATTCATGCCCGTGCCACCTTTTGGGTGGCTTAATCTTCATCAATCAATCATAGCGTTTCGGGCACAGTGTGGAGGAAAAACACTTAGACTAAAACTTAATAGTAACTGGAGGAGTAGCTCGAGTATAGTATAAATTGCTGGAGCTCGAGCTCCAGGTATGCAGCCATCTACGTCATCGCTGCTCTATAAACGAGCCTAAGCTAGTTTACCCTAACCTAACCCAGCCCAGCGTATCCTAACCTAACCCAGCCCAGCGTATCCTAACCTAATTTAACGAAAATAAAAGATACAATGTTGTATTTTATATATAAAGGTGGAGAGACCTTTGACAAGTCGCCGGCTTCCTGTCCTCATTGAGGTCACTAGTGTTAATGACCCTCAGGTAAATTCAGGTAAATATAGTGTGAACGAGGTGTGACGTCCCGGCACAGTTTTTAGACTACTAGAAAATAAGTGAAATAAGAGCTGGATCCGTCCCTAACACTGTATTAGCTAGTAGAGACATAAGCAAGTGACTTCAAAACATGCGCAATAACCCTTGCACTTGGAAACAGCTGGCAGGGTGTGAGAGCGAGGAGGAGGGCGACGCCCTGGGCTGGTCGAGGACGGTGTGGAACATCTCTGGGGAGGCGCAGTGGCAGGTGAAGGAGATGCACCAGGTGTGTCACCAGACCACTGGACGCATCAACTTCTTCGCTGACAGGTTCACCCTCGACGACTCCAAGCACTTCTGTAAGGTGAGTCTACCTCACCAGTGTTAGTCCGCTTCAGGGTGAGTTCATTTCCCTAAGGTGAGACCACTTCACGAACTTGAGTCCTCCTCACCAGGGTGTTTCCGGCTGGCATGGATCACGTAGGCCTTCTGTAGTGTTCCTGCCTGGCATGGGCCAGTAGCCTACTGCAATAATACTTTCTTATGTTGTTAAGTAAGCTGGGAAATATATGTAAGCTGATTGTGGAGATGAGAAACCTGCCTTCCGATTACTACTGAACATTTACTGAGAGACGCCTGGAGTACGGGAAGTGTAATTAATATATAAAATAACAACTTAATATATATTATGAATACAATACCAAATATGGTTACAGATATGTATCACAAGATACGAAGTAACATCAAAGAAGCAAACTCTCTGGACAGTTTCAAGCATTAGTTGCACAAATGTCTGTGTGGACGTTTTTTGGATTAAATAGGATCTGCCTCGAAGAAGCCATTTAGCCTTTTGCAATGTATTTTATTTGTATGTTGGTAAAGGTAGCACAAGTGTCGTGTGTTGCAGGTGGTGGGCGGGAGAGTAGCGGTGCCTGTGTCGGAGGATGAGAACTCCTGGCTCTATCGCACGTCCCAGGACGACGGCAATTATTGCTCCAGTGGCTTAGGCTCCTCCTACCTGTGGATGGGTGCCTCCGACCAAGTGATTGAGGGCACATGGCAGTACTTGGGCACAAACCTGTCCGTGCCCTGGCAAGGGCCCTGGAGGGGAGGAAAGCCCAACGGTGGACTCGTGGAGAACTGTCTTGTTATGCTGGCGGCACCTTTCGCTGGTCAGTGGTCCGACATAGCCTGTGTTGACTCCTACCAGTTCTGTGTGGCCTGTGAGTTCACACACCCGTCCATGCTCTACCTGAAGGGCCCCGCCCTGTGCACCGCTTCGCCTTTTAACCAGGAGTACGTCATAGGCAGCAGACAAGGAAGTCGTACCTCCCTGGAAGGATATTTCGACTCTGACATCTTCTGGGACCTTGAAAACTCGACCTGGATTATCAAGTCTCTCAAGGTCAGTATATCCAGCTTCATTTTATAAAATTACTGACAAGTTTGATAAAATCAGCTTTTATTAATTTATTCTGAGTATCTATTTACTGCTAGGACAAAAGAGGCATCAGATGGAAAGAAACATGCCCAGACGTCTCTATTGGGCCACCGGGGAACCTTACCCTGGTCGCTCAGTATTATAACCACTCAGCCAGCATTTGCCTGTCAGTGATGGACAGTCATGAAACCTACATGCTTCCACATGAGTCCCATGACCATCCGTCACCCACCATCACTTGGCGTGTATTGGACACTGACATTTCCATTAAATCCTAGAACATGCTAAGATCACACTGAGTATCCAGCGTGTGTGGAAGCATGTGGGTTCCAGGACCATCCATCACTTATAGAAATCGTTGGCTGAGTAGCTATAGTACTGAGCTGCTAGGGGTATGGTTCTTTGGCGGCTCATGTTCGAATCCTGGAGGGGGGTCATAGAGTTTACAATTTTATACATGTACAGGTATATGTATATTTATTATTGAGCATGGGTATTGCAGATTCCTGGGGCGGTGGCGCGCTGGAAGCCGGAGGGGAAAGACTTGTACCCGTTGGGGACCAAGACGTGGGTGATGGGAGGCAAGGTGTGCGACCTGCAGGTGGGTGAAGAAGTAAACCTCACCCTCTCGGTGTGTGGTGGGGGAGAGTTTACCTGTTCTGACGGCACCTGCATCAATCTCACTCAACGCTGCGACCTGCGCATCAACTGCCCTGACCAGAGTGATGAGGCTTCGTGCTCGGCCGTATCTCTTCCCGATACATACCGCAACACTATTCCACCACCTCCCACAAAAGAAGGTCAGCCCCTAGACATATACTTCTTCATCGACATAATTTCCTTCCTCTCAATTGCCACGGAAGATCTTACCTTCACAACGACCATGTCTCTGCACCTGCGATGGCAGGACGTGCGCCTCACCTACCACAACCTGCACGACGAGCACACCCTCAACTTGCTCTCCAAGGACGCCGTGGAGAAGATCTGGACTCCGACAGTATCCTTCAGCAACGCCCACGGCAACGTCTTCACCAACCTGGAGCGGGGATCCCGTGTTGAGTGTGTCCGCCAGAAGCCATCCAGGCCTTCCCCGCCTCAGTACACACACGAGAGTGAGTCCTATCACTCACAGAGAACGTTCTGTCAAAAATCTTTCCTGCTCGTTCGGGTGTTCAGGTTATGGGCTCTCATTGCTTTATCTACTGTGTCAAACAATCTGTCTCTGTCAATTTTGTTGGTTCTTGAGCGACACGAAGTTCAGTTTATTTTGTCTATCCTTGTATTTAGTGCCTCTTGTCCTGGACTAGTTTTTTAGATTTTGTCATTAAATTGGTCAGGCGAAGAGTTCCATATTGGTACTGTCCTCAGTTATTTGTTATATGTACATGTGTATACTACGACATTTTTAATGGCTCTTTGTTCAGGTCCTTAAAGCATTCCTTTCACTTTCCAACTTTGCAAATGACGTTGATGATACCAAGTTTATGTATATAGCAGGAGGTTAGTGTGGGGTGTACAAGCAGGCTGTTTCTGTGGCAAAATCCTAGAGATGCCTTCATCTCAGATGGTATATTGGGGCTGGCTGTATCCATGAACGTTATTACCTTGCACTTCGTGGAATTGAATTTAAGCAACCACTTGTCAAACTACTTTTGAAGTCTGGTCAATTTCTTGCCGTCGTCTTCCTATCTTCCTCACCGCATTTGCGTTGTCTGTGAACATAGAAAAGAAGCCGATTTCTTCTGGCAAATCCTTTAAACATCACAGCAATTTAATAGGTGCAAGCTCTAACTGCTGTACTCACCTAGTTGGGCTTACGAGGGTTGAACTTTGGCTCTTTGGTCCCGCCTCTCAACCGTCAATCAACTGGTGTACAGATTCCTGAGCCTATTGGGCTCTATCATATCTACATTTGAAACTGTATATGTAGTCTGCCTCCACCACATCACTGCCTAGCTGACCCCACACCACTGCCGTGACTCCACTGGTGTTTTTCTCGCTACTAAGATTTTTCTCTCGTTTAGGGGGTGATGTCTCTGTCATCCCTACCCTGTTTCTCCAGTATGTTTACTTGTCTCCTGTGAGACGGCGTCAGTGGCCTTCTGGTAGCCAGGGAATATGCAGATCACCCGCTCTTTCTCGCCCAACCTAACATCTCTGATGTTATCAATGAGTTGCATTAATGCACGAGGCACCATCTGCATCTCAATGATGTAGAACCTGTAGTTAAAGCCATCCTGGGAGTTATTCCTGGTTGATTGGTTGATTCCATTGTGTATGTTGGCACAAAGTTGTCTGTGTCACAGCCACCAGGCAGCTGTCTGTGTCGCAGGCACCAGGCAGCTGTCTGTGTCACAGCCAGCAGGCAGCTGTTCTGCCTCTAGGAGGGACTCGCTGTAATAATAATAATGTTAGTTTCAAAAATCTGTTTACTTTTCATACCTGGCTATAAATCACGCCTGTTATAATGAACAGGTGTGATATATAATGGTGTGTGATATATAATGACCATTGTGATGCCTTGTGATACCACTTGGCTGTATTATGCATTAGTTATAGCGATCAAGAAGTCACTACATTGTGATACCTCTTGTTGTAATGAATACATCTGGCATGTTATAATGAACATTTGATCACCCAATTGTGACGCATGTTATAATGAACACCTGATCCTCCCCATAGTGATATAATGAATATATGACCCCCCATAGTGATATAATGAACATTGACCCCATAATGATGTTTTAAACATTGGCCCCCATAATGATATAATGAACATTATACCCCAATGAACACCTGACACCCCATAGTTTCCACATGTTATAATGAACATTTACTCCCCTATAGTGATATGTTAGAAAGAACACAGGCCCCCCATCATTTCACATGTTCATTGAACATTGAAACATTAAACATTGGTCACCATAACTCTGACATGTGTGTGTGTTACAGCCAACATCTTCTCTGGCCTGGAGAACAGCATGGAGATGAGTCAGTCCTACACCGCTCAGTACAGCTGTGACTTCGACCTCATCATGTTCCCCTTCGACGCTCAGGTGAGGTCCCGCTCACACATAGGGTTGACGCACCGGTCAAACGTATCCGGATAATGAAGGCGAGACCCCGGTCCGGTAACCAGTATCCGGATAACAACGGATAGGGTTTGGGAGGAGGGATGGCTTGGGAGAGTGGGGGAGGGAGAATGGAGGGCTTGGGGGGCTGGGGAAGAAGGGAGGTCTTGGGGAGTGTGGGGATGGGGGGCAAGGTGGGCACTTAGTGGGGGGGCTGGGAGGGGATGGGGCAGGTAGGATTTCTGTTGGGTGGAAGGTGGGGGTGATGCTCCACTCACCAGGGCTGCTGAAATGCTTGTGGAGGGGTCCCACACTCCCCTTCTGGGATTGTAGGGTTTAGGGCTGTGGTTCCCTGATTCTTTTCTCTCACATTGCGCTCCTGCCCCTATTCTCTCCTCCCTTGTCATATATCTTTGCAGGAATACCGTTTTGAACTTCGGTACATTTAATAGCCTGTTCTTCATTGTTAAAAGGTCCTCTTTTGTGCACTCGTTCGTAAATACCACCTTTATCAGTCGGTCTCTGTCTGTGTTACACTGGCCAACCCTGAAAACATTTTCTATATTTTGCTTCGCTCTCTCCATCTGTATCCCTTTCAAGATCACCTTAACTGTGGCTTTATCCTTATCTCTCCAGTCCCCGTGACTAGGCCATACTTGTTCCTTAATACCTGTTACGATTACTGCTCTTTTCCTCTCTATGATCCGGCTAGTACATCTTGCTGTTTCCCGAGAAGTGGCTACTTTCATGGCAACTTCTATTACTGCAACCATAGCTTCAGGGTTCCTTCTAATTATATCTGCAGATGAGGGTTGTACTGTAGATATCCCTTCCACAGATACATTCCCGGCTTCCTGAGGGATGGTTCGTAACTGGTGGTGTGTAGGATTCTCTTTTAGGCTTTGTATCTCCTCCTTTGATACTCATATATATATATATATATATATATATATATATATATATATATATATATATATATATATATATATATATATATATATATATATATATATATATATATATATATATATGTCGTACCTAGTAGCCAGAACGCACTTCTCAGCCTAATATGCAAGGCCCGATTTGCCTAATAAGCCAAGTTTTCATGAATTAATTGTTTTTCGTCTACCTAACCTACCTAACCTAACCTAACCTAACTTTTTCGGCTACCTAACCTAACCTAACCTATAAAGATAGGTTAGGTTAGGTTAGGTAGGGTTGGTTAGGTTTGGTCACATATCTACGTTAATTTTAACTGCAATAAAAAAAAATTGACCTCATACATAATGAAATGGGTAGCTTTATCATTTCATAAGAAAAAAATTAGAGAAAATATATTAATTCAGGAAAACTTGGCTTATTAGGCAAATCGGGCCTTGCATAGTAAGCCAAAAAGTGCGTTCTGGCTACTAGGTACGACATATATATATATATATATATATATATATATATATATATATATATATATATATATATATGTCGTACCTAGTAGCCAGAACTCACTTCTCAGCCTACTATGCAAGGCCCGATTTGCCTAATAAGCTAAGTTTTCATGAATTAATTGTTTTTCGACTATCTAACCTACCTAACCTAACCTAACCTAACTTTTCCGGCTACCTAACCCAACCTAACCTATAAAGATAGGTTAGGTTAGGTTAGGTAGGGTTGGTTAGGTTCGGTCATATATCTACGTTAATTTTAACTCCAATAAAAAAAAATTGACCTCATACATAATGAAATGGGTAGCTTTATCATTTCATAAGAAAAAAATTAGAGAAAATATATTAATTCAGGAAAACTTGGCTTATTAGGCAAATCGGGCCTTGAATAGTAGGCCGAGAAGTGCGTTCTGGCTACTAGGTACGACATATATATATATATATATATATATATATATATATATATATATATATATATATATATATAATATGTGTGTATTTACTATTTGTATCTGCAGATCAAGCTATTAGCTCTTCGACTCCGCCTTTCTAACCAATGTATTTTCTTCTATTATATCTACTACATATATTTCTCACTAAGACTCACACACATCCCTAGGAAGCAACTCGTAGCAGTTATCTAACTCCCAGGTACATATTTACTACTAGATGAGCAGGGGCATCACGGTGAAAGAAACTATGCCCATTTGTTTCCGCTTCCACCGGGGATCGAACCCGGGCCCTTAGGACTACGACCCCAGAGCGCTTGTATGTGTGTGTGTAATCCTGGTGTCTCCACAGGTGTGCTCGCTACAGTTCACTCTGGTGTCAGCAGCCTCCTCCTACATGGTCCTCAAGCCCTCCTCTGCCAACTACTCTGGCCCAAAGAACCTTATTGAGTACACAATAGGTTGGTACCTCACTCAGGAAATGTGTTCCTATACACTGTTTCCATTCTTAACTGAACACTCGGTTTATACTGTTGTATACCAGTTTTAAATTTAGGTGTAAACTGTTTATATGCCGAGTTTTCCACCCAGTTCACAGCCTGAGTTGCTTTGTGGCAGGTCGAGTAACGATACAGAGGACGCAGGAGGTCCAGTTCTCGAGTGTGAAGGTTGAGGTGAGGTTCTTCAGGCGCTATAACTTCTACCTGCTGACCCTCTACATCCCCACAGCCCTCCTCATCGTCATCGCCTACGCCTCCTTCTTCTTCAATCCGGACGACTTCAACTCTCGCATCACTGTGGCTCTTACAGCTCTGCTCGTCCTGGCTTCCTTGTTCACACAGGTAAACTACTCCACTTCTCTTATGTTCATGCAGGAAAGTCATTGAGAGCGGGGGTCGGGGTGGAGGGAAGGAATGGAACATAGACATGTTCATGTTGGGTCATCAGAGCCCCGGGCTGTCTTTGCTTCACTGGCTTTTCCAACAAATCAAGTTAAAAATCAACTCGCACAACCAGGCTATGAGACAAGGGGGAACTGCCTGCCCTCCAGGGGTGGTGTGAACAGCCAAGCAAACACCTTCACCAATCACATACTGGATCTCCAACACAATTACATTTCTCACTGGCAAAGTGTGACCAAGCCTTCTGACCAGCCATAGTTAAAAGCAAGGTCTGGCGAAGATATAAAAAGACATGCTCACAACAAGAACATATGATTATGGGCTCACCATAGCCCGTGCTACTTGGAACTTGTTCTGAGTAGCTGAATCTATAACAACAACAACAACAAGAACATATACAGCCCCGCTCCTGTGCCAGGTAAGTCCACTACGGGCTCACTATAGCCCGTGCTACGTTGGAACTTTTTGTTCTAAGTAGCTGAATCTAAAACAACAAGAACATAATTTTTGCTTACAAAAACATTCACAAACGAGCTTTCAGTCGCATGAAAGAAGTTCAAAAGTGAGATATCTCCTGATTTGAATGAAAAATAGCAAAACTTGCAGTCAGGAACAGGCTGGCCTACTGGTAGACGATTTCACTACCTAGATGCAGGTCTCTGATCTAGAACACCAGTCTCCACACCTTGATCACTGTGACAAAGTTATCAGCCGTGACTGCTAAAAAAAAAAAAAAAGACACACACCTTTTTAAATCACTCAACTTAGGTAAGACAACAAGGCGGCAACCACGACACAAGTCGCTCAGCCTTCAACAGCCTCACTTCAAGAGCTCTCATTCATTCCTAGACTGACTCGCATGTGGAAAACGTTCTCTAAACATGTAGATATGCATAAAATCAAGTCAATCGACCATATTAAGGTTCTGGCATACTGATATCTCCAACTCCATCCTGTACCTAACATGATTGTAACTTAACATTAAATAACGTTTTTCTACGGGGGTCAGGCGAGCTGATAGTGGTATAGGATAACAGGTCATGCGCTCCTATCACAGATGTCCAACTCCCTGCCCAAGACGTCTTACTTCAAGTTGGTGGACGTGTGGCTCTTCTTCGCCATCGTCATCATCTTCGTGGTGGTGATCCTCCAGACGCTCATAGATTTCTTCGCTGACAAGGACATCTTCTCCTGTTTCTCACCTAAGAGCTCGACCTTGATTCAGGTGAGTGTGTGACAGGTCGGACGGGATTATTATATCAGGGCCTTGGGCTAGGTCCTGGAACCACTAAGGGCCTTGGGCTAGGTCCTGGAACTACTAAGGGCCTTGGGCTAGGTCCTGGAACTACTAAGGGCCTTGGGCTAGGTCCTGGAACCACTAAGGGCCTTGGGCTAGGTCCTGGAACTACTAAGGGCCTTGGGCTAGGTCCTGGAATCACTAAGGGCCTTGGGCTAGGTCCTGGAACCAATAAGGGCCTTGGGCTAGGTCCTGGAACCACTAAGGGCCTTGGGCTAGGTCCTGGAACCACTAAGGGCCTTGGGCTAGGTCCCGGAACCACTAAGGGCCTTGGGCTAGGTCCTGGAACCACTAAGGGCCTTGGGCTAGGTCCTGGAACCACTAAGGGCCTTGGGCTAGGTCCCGGAACCACTAAGGGCCTTGGGCTAGGTCCTGGAACCAATAATTGAGGATTCAATCCCCTTTCTCGTCCTACCATGGTCAAACATTAGCAACTAGAAATTTTCTGCTAATTTTATCGAACTTGCTATCATTTTCTTTGTAGATTTACGAGAACAAATTGCTTTTAAATTTTTATAACAACTCAATTTTTGTTTACACCGTGGAATAAACAAAACGCTTTCCAAAGCCAATAGAACTTAAAAGTTTGAGAAACAGCCCCCTTCACGTGAAGACTTTTACTAAACCAAATGATCTTCGTTATGTCATTAACTCTTGGTACAGGTGCTGGAGAAGAAACCAAAACGAAACCAAAATGATGAACGGAAATCAAGAGATCTGTCTATGGGATCCAGCTTCCCAAAGGTGTCTGGAGGCGGCTTCCCACAGGTGCCTGGAGGTGGCTTCCCAAGGGTGCCAGGACTAGCAAATTTGGCCATGCTCAAGTTTAGCCGGATTCTTATACCCATCGTCTTTGTCCTCTTCAATATTATCTACTGGGCCTCTGCCTTCAAGTGCGTTATGTTTTCCATTTTGTTTACCATTATTTGGGTTAAATCTGAGGTTATGTATTTTTATTGAGCTATGTATTCATGGAAATTTAAGCACTCCATCTATAAACTAGGACAGTTTTGAGTGGCTCATTGTTTACATTAATAAGAATGGAATGTGGCTGATATATTATTGGACCTCATCAAAAAAGAGCTATTGTCATATTTTGAGGGACAAAGTGAATCTGTTATGACACGAGGTTCAGTAGGATAGAGCAATTTTCTCTAAATGAACCCTTGTATTTGCCCTCTTCTTAGCTACGTCATGAATTTGAACATGTAGATGGTGTCCCAACATACCACAAGAAGTCACGGCCCCTGAACATGTATATGGCGCCTCAACACACCACAAGAAGTCACGGCCCCTGAGCCTCTGAGCATGTAGATGGCGTCCCAACACTCCACAAGAAGTCACGGCCCCTGAACATGTAGATGGCGCCTCAACACACCACAAGAAGTCACGGCCCCTAAACATGTAGATGGCGTCCCAACACACCACAAGAAGTCACGGCCCCTGAACATGTAGCCATGGAAAACCACTACCAGCTATTCGTCAGGAATTTAATTACATCTAGGCTGTATTTCCCTTCTCACTGAACCTAAATGTTTCAAAACAAAAATCAATAGTCAAAGCGATGAACTTTTCAAATTCATGTGATATTTGTTTAGAACTGTTATTTATATTTCATTACTTTATATGTGTATATTATTAATTTGGATGAAATAAAATACAAGTTTCCCATATAAAAATAATTATAAAAGACAAAATCAGTGCTCATGATGTTTTCTGCCTCTCAAGATGCTTATTACTTCCTTGGCTAACTTATTCTCTGGGATGTTCTCCATCCCACAATAGCAACAAACTGAGTATGACACCATTTTGAAGGCCATGCTAAGAAAAAATCCCTAACCTTCCTCTGAATTGATGACTCGGTGAAAACAAGCAACTCTTGCAGTCAGATTTGGTAGCCTCGATGTCTGCACAGTTTTCCAGATTGCATCACCAGCCTTCCTTTTCTGAATCTAATGATATTGCTACAGAAATCTTACCAGAACACCTTGGTGATACGGCAGATACAAGATACCACCTTCACTGAAAGCACCAATCAGTAGGATGCTCTTGCCGCCCAACACCCAGACCTGACTCGACAGACACAAACAGTGCAGCTGGGACAAAGGGGCAAGGACATCTCGCTGCTGCACCTGGAAGAACAATGACCAGATTTCCATCACATATTGCAGAGGCATGGAGTGCCTCTGCAATATGTGATCCCTTCTCCCTTCCCTTCCTAAGCAGAGCATCTGGCACCAACAAGAATGACCGAAGGGTCCTAGAACAGCATACATGGATGACTATTGCAGGGACAAACGATATCCCAAGGACAAATACACATAGACCTTACAATGCCCACTTGATCGGATATTTAAAAAGGCAGAACTAACCAGATTGGTTTAAGTGGTCACACTGGTCTTTGTTTTACCCCATCCCCTCGCCCAAAAAAAAGAGCATTCCCCTCCCCAGGTCACAGTTGCTAAGTAGGCTCAACCCCCAGATGAAGGAACATAAGGGTGTGCATGGGTCTCTTTACACATTCAACAAATTGGGACATATTTTGCTTCTGCACCACCACAGCAGGAGATCGGAGAAGCTACCCTTCCTTGCCTCTGGGCGGGCATAAGGGCCCCTCACCACATCAAGGCACCATCCACTTCAAGGGTCAGGTATAAATAACTTCATTTCATAAGGGTAAATTTCTTTATTTACAACAAAGTAAGCTATACAAAAATAATTTATTTTTTTACAATTATACAATACTGAACCCTTACACTATTCCAGTCTCTGATTTTTTCCTGTGCGCCACTCACAATATGTGACTTTTCCCATTTGGTCCATTAAATATTGTAAAACAAGTGCAGTTTGATATACTACTACTGTATTAAATATCTGTGCCAGTTGAGGGTCAAGAAACCTTTTGCAAAAGACATGCACACACACACACACACACACAGCTGCATTGTGTTTACTAATATACCTACAGTATCACACAACCAAACTTGCAACTAATTTAAAAATTACTTCATGTTAAAACAAATTCCTAAAGGAAATAATGAATTAGCTTTAATAATATGACTTCAAATCAAGGTTAGTCTACCCACTGGCTAATGCAAGATCTTGCAGCTAACGCTGTGACTGATGCTATTTTTTTTTTTTTCATATGAAAAAGTTTGTTTTTGCTATGTTTAGTTTAAAAAAAAATAAAAAAAAAGTTTATTTTACAGTTTGCTATGAAAAAAAGCAAACCAAGAAAGCTACACAAACTATTTCACTGACATAACTAAGCAGTTTTAAACCATACTGTTCCAGAAAGTCTTGACATTACCCACAAATAACCACAAACAAATTATGCAAAGAGATATCCCTTTGGCTTCAAATTGCATTACATTTTATTGTGCTTTTATCCCATTTACTGGAAAAGTATTTCACCTCCCCTCCACAGTTATTCTCTAAAATACAGTATTTACATTCAAAGCAATATGTAACACCGTAAGGTGTTTGGTTTAGTTTTATTTAAAAATATATATGGAGATACAAGAGTCACAGACAAGGATTTGAGAGGCGCCAGTTTGGTCGGCCTGAGTCTCACACCTCTAAGCGTTAATGACCTCAAGTGACCCGAGGTCAGATCATGCGAATTCCACCTTGCTTCTGCTAATCTGATAATTGGAGCCTGGTAGCTTTCAAACATGCTGACGTTTAAGGAGTGGCTTGGTAGAGTGCCTGAGGCTATCTACTTGTGGGCGGAGTTAGTTACTAGGTTCCCCAATATATACTCGGAGAGCAGAGCATAGAGGAAGTCACAAGCAGGAGGGGAAGCTTGCACCTAGCACTGCCAGGTGGGTAAATATTGAGCAGCAACGTGAGCACTTCCCTCCTGATCTTTTGCGTGGTGCCTGAATAGGCATCATGCTTTTCAGAGTGAAGGTGCGGTTCCGAGGAACCGACACCACATACAACAAGGCCGAGATCATGGACCTATTGACCTCGACCTCAGGGGTAGCACCCATCGACGTCGTTATGGACGTTAATGGACCCCAAATTCTCTTCAGTAGTGAATTTGCACTACTGGCTAATGCACTAGAAGATGCACTTCTTGCACTAGAAGCCCTATTCACCACGACAACGACCACTGCACTCGAGGCAAAGGGGCTAACACTCCTGCCTCCCCTCCAGTTCCAGGCTGTAAGGACAATATTCATTCACAGAGTGAGTGACATCATCGCCGAACAGCCCATCACTGTGATCGTGAAGAGCATAAACGCTCTGAACCGATCTCTCACAGCCATCTCGGCCCACCTCATCCAGCAGGGTGAAAGCGGGAGGCCAACCCTCTAGATCACCCTCAAGACTCTAGCAGAGGCTACTCTCGCGGCCGACAACGGCCTCAGATGCTGTGGAGTGGCCTGCACACCCCACCAGATCACCAGGCAGCGTTACTTCCGCCTTCGTCAATGTTTTAGGTGTTATCAATACACCCACTACGCTCAGAAGTGCCAAAACACGCTGCAGAAATGCAGCATTTGTGCTGGGGAACACCATCACAGGACCTGCACAGCCACCATCAAGCGATGTCTACTCTGCAACGGTGAACACACAGCCGTTTCTCAAGACTGCCCATCCAGGCAGGAAGAAATCAAGAAAATGATCGACGCCAGACCTCGCAATTCCTCTCCTAGAGTGAAATCATTCAACATTCAAGAAGAAGCCTTCCCAGCACTCCCGACAAGTGGCGCGCAACCAAACTACTGGACCAGCAACTCCCGCGCCAGCCACTCACAGCCTCAGACGACACCTCTGCTCCAAGCCAGCCAGCCATCCTCACTCTCACCGCCTCCAGCCACCCCTGACAGCCCTGTTGCAGCTCTGATACACTTCGCAACGGAACTCTCAGGTGGAGATCTCAGAGAACGGTACAGAATACTTAAAGAACTCTACAAGGAGAACAACCTCCCAGCGTTTGTGATACCAGAGGCCATGTTCACCGCCTGCTCTACCACAACAGAGGCCAACCCTACACCTGTGACACCTGCGAACCCGGCTCCAGAAAGCATCAGCACACCGGCGGCCACACCGATCACAACACCTGCTGGAGCACCTCCTGCCACCGAACCTGCACCTTCTCCTGCCAGTGAACCCGCGACGGCGCAGATCTCTACAAAGCCCAAACCTGCCTCTACAAAGCAAGAAACAACACCAGCTGTCGCCGATAATAGACCCTCAACACTGCTCAAGACCCACATACCCTTTGAGGAGACCTACCTGGTGAACATCGAAAACCGGTACCCCAGACTGTCGACCTTCTACGTCGGCCTAAAGGACCCAACTTACACTGATGCAGATGGAAATACCATACCATAATGTCTACATTCGATCAAGAATCTTTTGAATTGTGCACAACACAAGGAATGGTCACCCCCAGAAGATTCCTAATGTCTAACGACGACAAGAAGCCTACTAAATTCGTGGATGTGAAGAAAAGCCAGTTTGTCAGCGTACGCCCAAACGGCAATACTCATTTCGGTAACACCAGGGATGACCTTATCCCAAAACTAATCCTGTGCCGTGCATGGCGCCCTCAAACTCCCAATGTTTCGTTAGGGTGCATGGCGCCCTAATGTTTCTTGAACATTAAGTTGAATGGCTTAAATTATGATACTTATCATGAAAAATATAAGTGTTGAATTTATTATTTAAATTGTCTTTAACTTTGTTCCCTAGAGTTTTGAGTGGAGGTGAGAAAGCCTCTGCGGTTTCTGGTTCCATGATTTTAATGAGTACATGATACAGATGGAACAGACTAATAATGACCTTCGTGATAACATCTTTTGAGAATATTGTGATACAGACAAGTTCCATTCCTTGTCCTGTATGTAATGGTCTTGAATAGATGGTGGCAGCATTTCTTCTTCTACTATCTACTTTTCTACTT